AGAAAAGCCTCTGGTTCAGGACCATGAAGCAGAACTGAGACAAAGCTCAGGACCATGAAGGTTGCTCCACATCCCCCCACCAGGCTAAGCCTCCCTTTGAGATCCAGGCCCTGCTTTCCATTCCCAGAACCCAGAGACTAGGCAGCCAACAATGAGCGCAGAGATGCTCCTCTGACTCCAGCAGGAGAGCTGTGCAGAGATCACGGGCTCCCGCAGAAGGCTACGTTTACCATCTTCCCTGCCGCTCGTCCCTCGTGCTGCTCACGCTGTCTCAACAGCCACCTCTCAAAGAATCGCCTGGTCCACATCTCCCTGTGAAAGAGCACAGCGTGAGCCTCCCCTGCAGAGCATCCTGGCCTCTCTGGGTTGTCACACCCCACATTTGCAAAGCCTGGAGTACCGCAGGGCTGACCGTACAAGAGGCAAAACAGCAGGATGAGGGAATCCAGAGCAGGACAGTCTTCTCTGAACAGCAACCTGCCCGACAGAACTCCAGCAACAGTATCTCAGAGCCCAGTCCTCACTTCCCTTGCGGGCCAAAACACAGCACAGCAGCCAGGGGATATGCTCCCAAGAGGCTAACAAGGGAGTTGTTAGAGACTAACAACGCTGTTTTTTGTGGGTGTGTGCACCTCCGAGTCACTTTTTGACTCCTGGCAACTGCCTAAACAAGTCCCTGCAGTTTTCTTGGCAAAGTTTTTTTTAGAAAGTGGTTTGCCATTGCCTCCTTCCTAGGGCTGAGGGAGAGGGACTGGCCCAGGGTCATCCAGCTGGCTTCGTGCCTAAAGCAGGACTAGAACTCAGTCCCCGGCTTCCAGCCTGGTGCCTTCACCACTAGACCAAACTGGCTCTGCTAAATACTTTAGAAGTTTCAAAATGACTGAGACAGCCTTGAACAGTGGATTGAAGATAAACTTTAACAGGGAGAAACAAAGTCCTGCAACTGGGGAGAAAAAATGTGAGGCACAAGTCTAGGATGGGAGACACCTGGCATGGCAGTTATACAGGCAGAAAGGATCTGGAAGTTTTAGTAAATTGCAATAGTCCCACACAGGGGCTAATGAGGAAAATGGTATTTGGGTGTGTGTGAACACGCACAGAGTCCAGAGCACGGGAAGCAGTTGTCCCACTCCACTCCGACTTGCCCAGGCCCCACTTGGACTTCTGTGTCCAATTCTGGCCCCCCAGTCTAAACGGGACGTTGACAAACTGGAGTGCGTTCAGAGGACGGCTATCAATGCGGTGAAGGCTCTGGAAACCAAATCTGGCAAAGACTGGATCAGTGTTTCTCAACCTTAGCAACTTTAAGATGTGTGGACTTCAACTCCCAGAAGTGCTGGCTGGGGAACTCTGGGAGTTGAAGTCCACACATCTTAAAGTTACCAAGGTTGAGAAACACTAGACTAGATGAAGGAAGTGGGTAAGTTTAGCGTGCAGAAGAGAAGGCTGGGAGAGGCACGAGAGCCTCTTCAGAGATGTAAGACCAGAACCAAGCGGCTGGAGCTACAGGCAAGCAGACTCAGGCTGGATATGATGGTAAAAGCCGTAACAGAGGAATGGGTTG